TTACCACAGTTAATGCTAGAGGTACAGTTCAGGCTAGTTCAATCCTCATCTGAAAGTTTACCTTCCCTTCAGATTCTCAAAGTTCATTGTTGATACCCATTTATCTAACTCAGCATCTTGTTTAACATCATTGTACTGCATAAGAATCAATAAAGTGCACACACTCCCAAATCTTGTTTGTCCCTTCTTCTATTCTATCTTCTCCTTCATCTTTGTCTAACTCTGAGCTGTCAAACGGCCCATGGTGGGAAAATGAAGAGTTTAACACTTAAATTTAAAGGAAGGGGTGTGTATGTCTGTGTTTTTGTGTGTGTGTGTGTGTGTGTGTGTAGGTAGGAAGGGAGTGTATTTGAATCTATGTATTACCTGATTTTTCTGTAAATCTAACATATTCCTTTAAAAAAAGTCTTTTTTAAAAATTAAAGGACTGTAAGTAGAAAAATTAATATTTTTCTTTTAAAAGCTTTTGATCATTATAAAAATGTATATACAAAAATATTAAAAGTAAGTTGAAATCACCTATAATCTTATAGTATTTCAATGTATTTACTTCTATTCACATATTTTTAATGATTCTGTTCAAAACATTTAAAAACGTTTAGCCATGGATATAATTTGAAAGCTGAAAATATCAAAATATTTTGGAAACAGTTTTTTGTTAAAACATTTCTTGATCCATTCTCTTCCTTTCCCATTCCTATGACTTCCTTGAGACCTTTCTCAGTGTCTAGCCTCTACTTTCTGCCATGTTATTCTATTCACCTTAGCTTCTTTGCTGTTTTCTCTTGGCTTCGTTCTCTGTTCCTCACTTCTGATTCTCTCTCCTTTGGATCCCACTCTGTCTGCCTTGCCTCTCCTCATTTTTATTGCTAGTGTATAATTGGGTTCTGCAGCTCTCCTATGTCTCACTTCCCCCAACCTTCTGGCTCATTTCCTCGCCTGATAAAATGGCCAGTCATCGTGGAAAGTGCACCACTGTCCTCACTAATATCCAGAGCAGGGCATGTGTTCTCTTCCTTCTTTATTCCTCACTGCACCCTGCTGTTCTTTACTTCATTCTCTAAATACTGTTCTTCCAAGGCTGTCTTGGACATTTACTGAACAATTTAGGGTAACAGAGGCCTTACACATGGAACAGTGTAAGATTTAAAATTAAATGCTTTGTATTTTGTTCATAAAAGTTACTTGGCCATCCTTGCCACTAAGAATGTTTCCTTTTTGCCTTAGACCTAGTTTTATAAAAAGCAGTGATCAGTGACTTAAGATAAATGTCTTTAGACTTAAAATGATGCTTCATTGTATGCCATCAAGAGATTAGATTCTAAGGAAAGAATTAGAAAATTTAATAAATTTTGTGCTATAATTTTTAAACGTTATTTTCAAAATGCCTTTACTAAATAAATTTTTCAAATAATTGAAAAATTTTCAATTTTTTGAAAATTTATAACTAAATATTTTAATTATTTAAATATTTATATTATTAAAATAATATAAATATTATTTATAACTAAATAATATTTTACTAAATAAAATTTTTCAAAATTTTTTTACTAAAAATGCTTTTAGTGAAAATTGGGGAAGAGAGGTTTAGTTTTCAAAATATTCATATTTGGATAATGAGGGTAGCCCAGCTGCCACTGGACTTTTCTTATTAAGGTGGTATTCTGGTGAAATTTAAATTAAAAGTGTTCACTTGGTATATTTTTTCTATAATTAAATTGATTTGCTGATTTTGTTAGACACATGGAATGGCTAACCTGTCTAACACATTTAGTATTTATTTTATCACTTTCTTTGACTTTAAAATCTGTATTTTAACCTCAGACCTTTAAGTGTCTTTGTATTATTCATACATACTTTTTGTTTATGTTATAAATATTTGGATTTTTAAATTTTTAAAACATTTTTAATAGATGCAGTATAGTCAAGTAATTTGTATTTAAAGAAAACAGAAGCCTGAACGTGGTATATATTACATAGTGAAGTGTGGTATTTCTGGGGTACACAATTTTAGAGTAATAAATGATATAATTTCAAGCACCTACAGCAGTGAAATATTTCTCATTTTACACATTTATGTTTCTGTAAGATTTGTTTTTGCAGTTTTATCTTCCATTGCAGTGTGTTAATATTGTTAAATTATACAAGAGAAGGATTATATATTATATACTTAATCATTTGGAAAGACTGAGACTCTTACCACAATTCCTCTATTGACTAAATGCATGACCTTGAATCAAGTTACCTCTAAGGTCATTGTCTTATCTTTAAAATGAAGACATTAACTTCATTTTTTCTCAAGTTATGTAACTTTTATAACTGAGAGATTCCAAAACAAATATACAGTTTCAAAAAAGATCCCAAAGTCTGTAATCTCACCATTCATCTGACACTTGATTTATCTGCCTAGCATCACTACTAAGCAGCAGGGAACGAGCTTTGTCAGGGATAGGGCTGTGAGCCCCTTCCTCCCTCTTGGCGGAAACTGTCAATGATTTCTCTAAGTAAGCTGATACGTTTTTACTAAAAATTTCAACCCTTAGAGTCATACAAAACAAGTATAATCCAACTTCTAGTTGAAAAGCCAACTATATTGTTTTGATTTTTCTTTCATTTTTAAATTAAGCATTCTGTTTCATCTGTTACTACTATAGCAAGGTGTTTATTTGTATTGATTTTATATTTCTTTGGACATAAGAAATAGACACTTAAAATAAACATAATAATGAAACGAGGTGAAATGAATTTGAAAATAGGACTGGACACAAATTTTGAAATTTGATCTCCCCAGTGAAATGTTATTTTAAAGTTATTTTAAAATGTTATTTTAAATGGGAATTATAGTAATGATAATGTTAGATGCTTACTGTATCCCAGACTGTTTTCTGATCTTTGACTCTACTATCACATTCAGTTCTTACAACAGTTCTATGAGGTATACATACCTCCATTTTAGAAGTCAGGTAACTGGGGTACATAGCAATGTGAAATAGAAATTGTTCCAATTATATATTTAAATGATATTATGTAGATTAAGTTATGTATTGGAATATAATTTCTTCCCTTCCAGAAAAATACTACCATAGTGTATGATAAAATCTACTGGCCTTCACATTAGTTGCCAAGATTTATTGAGGGCTTATATGCCAGTCAGTGTGCTGGTGCCTTCCACATTTGATCTCATTTAATCCTCATAACAACTGCATGAGATATATATTGATTTCTTTACTATATTATGGGTGAGGAAAATGAGAATTACTTGCCCAATATTATACAATTGGAAAATGGTGGAATTATAATTTGAGTCTAGGCAATCTTAACAATACAGTTCATGCACTAATCATTAGGCATACCGCCTCACCCCACTACACTGCTTTAGCATATTTGACTTTGTTGCAACAAAAAAAGTAGATACTTCCTCTTGACAGTAACTATATGAGATACAGAATATATTGATAGTTACTGGTATGTACATCAGTGAAGTGCTTTGAAAACAATTTTTTCTACATTAATTTGCTTACTAGCTGCATATGAAATAAATACAAAGCCCAAACTTGATCTTTGATTTAAAATACTGCACAGTTTTTTGTCCTGGGAAGATAGGAGCCAAGACAAGTCACATTGCTTATTCTAGCTTATTCTAGTGAAATTTAGGATGTGGGGACATTAGCAATAGCTCTTTAGTTTTTATCAGGCTTGACTTATCAACTTGAATTTAATTGGGAGTTAAAGCAGATTTCCATATCTACTGTGTCTATATTTGGATGCATTTCAAAGTCAAATACAAGTATGTATTTTCAGTTGTCTTCTCATCTCCATTATTTGTACATGTAATTAAGAGTTAATTGTATTTCTGTTATAAATGATATGGTTGCTTCCTCTTGCATTATACTTTTCCAGTAGTAAACTACAAACAAAGCAGTTCTCAGAATATCAGATTCAGAATGTGCTCAAAAGCTCTTCACTTAGAGACTGAAGCACTGAAAAAAGTTAGGATGTGTGACCTTACTATTTAACAAGCGAATTCTACTCTATTATTTCTTATATGTTGATAAATACAACATGTCTTTGAAAACTATGTTTAACATTGTATTCTTTTGGGGGGAGGATGTTTACAATTTTGTTTTTACTTTCTTTGGAGATTATTCAGTTTGGCATGATAGCTCTCCTCAGTAACGCTTTATTTGTCTGTGTGCCACTTTTCACTTTCTTTTTCTCAATGGAACCTAGAAGCATTAAACACATCTCTAATTGTTAATATAAAAAAATGAACTTTTTCTGTGATGTGTGACTACTTGGCATTTTTACCTCATCTTCACAGATCTAAATATTTGAAGGAAATGATCACTTTATGTTTACCCCAGTCAAAAAATTTTACTTCTAATCACTAAAATTTCTCCCCTGAAAACAAAGACAAAAAGGTAACAAATAATTGTAACCAAAGATATTTCTAATACTGTCTTTTTAAAAGAAAGTCTGCTCGGGCACAGGATAAGACTCATTTAAAAATTTCCTCCGTGAGTCTCTATATTTGAGTATAACCAGCACTGTAACATACTGATTAGATGTGCTTGTTTTCAACACAGTTGCATGTTTTCTCGGGCGATGTTAAATTGCCATATTTGATGAAAAAATAGCAAATTGAAATTTTTCAAAATATTTATTGATCAAATGTTTCCTTTTATAAATACAAGCCCTTCATCATTTTAGTGTTATTTTCTTTTTTGCTTTAGAAAGGTAGTTTTATTTTGACAACCAAAAATAATAATAATAATACAAGAGGAGGCAACTCAATGTTTCAAATGTTAAAATAGTTCAATTTTAACCAATAGGAACCTACACAAGATCATGGCATTTAGGTTTAGGGTATCTATCTCTTTGGACCAGATCATATGTTATTTGAATCTACTGTGGTTTGTTAGTATGTTTCATAAGACATAGTGCAGAGCTGCTATGATCTTTAAATGTTAATGTTCTTTTCTTATCACTTTACTGTGTAGATACCCTTCATGAGACCCAACTCTGCCACAGCTCATCCTCGGAGGCAATCCCGGAAACCTCTTTTATAAGTGTGATTTTAAAAATGTGGATTAAACTCTCGATAGAGTACATAAAGTAAAGAACAGCTATATTGTCCTTTCTATAAGCTTGTCACTGCAAAAAGTTGCCTTTTGCTTGTCAGGTTTGGATAGAATATAATTGATTGGTTTGTTACTTGGACTAAAAAGGCAGTAGATTTGCCTGTGTGAATTTTTTTTTCCTATTTTTCTTCTTTTTGCTTTTTTTTGCACTAATCAGAAATATTTGATATGTGCATTGTTGAAAAATACTGGATACATGTCTTGTCAGAATTGTCGTATTAAGTAATGTCTTTCCCTCTTGCTTCTTTGGCAAATGATGATACACAGTGTTTGGACTTACTGAAGAGTTACTGAAGCCTATGGGACTTAATAAATACAGTATGCTACTCCCTGTTGTTATTCAACAATACAAGTAACAAACAAGAAAGACAATGCATTCCATTAGTCTGCTATTCTGTTTCCTTCAGCTTGATACATAGATTCATATAAAGTACTGCATTTTAAAACAACTATAGACTCATATTAAATGTTATTTCTATTTATAATAGTCAGCAAAAGTGAAAGACTTATGAAGCATATGACATTCTATTTTTGACTTATTAGTCCTAGTGTGAAAGCATATTAGCATGACATTTTTACCACTTCAGATTTTAAGCTCATGAATAAAAATATATCTGTGTTGATCTCTAGATATTTTTAGTAATACCCAAATATATGCAGTCCTTATTGTTTTAATATAAACTTTCTGTGTTCAGTATAATTTTATTTTTCTCAACCTTAAATATGAACTTAGGAAATAAGGAGGGAAATACAAAGATTATTGACTATACAACCTACCAGCTGAAAGAAAGATCTTCATCAACATCTGTATCTTTCCAGAGGTATACAGAATTAAAATTTGATCTTCAAGCTTTAATGATCCAGTTTTAAGTCAACGGCAGAAATATGTTGAATATTTCATCACTCAATCTTGAACTGATTTAGAAGAGACTCTTTGCTGAAATTGAATTGCACATATACATGTAAATTGTCAACATGTAATTTGGAATTTTCTGATTAATAAATGTGGTTTTGGACATCTTTTCGGGTATAGTGACAATGGAAAATAGTTTACACTTTAGGACTAGAGTACGTAATGTTATAGATAATCAAAAGCAATTGTAATTGTAAAGCTGCTGTAATCTAGTAATCTCTGGTTATAGTGAGGAATCCTATGATTGGATGAGATGTTTGATAAAAGTAAAATGTGTACGAAATTACATATAAACAGATTATTAACTTATTGAAAGATCTCATCATATTGGAGGAAAAATATTCATAATCTTTAGCAAAATTAGTAGACTTTTGTTTAACAGAATAAGATAGGACTAGTTATCACTATATTAGCTTAAGGAAATGTTAGTAATTACTACTGTTACTGAAGTCTGGCTGCCTTTAAGCAAAATGACAGATTGCCATTTTCTAAGTGGAATATACTAATACATTAGACCATGGCCCTCTTTTAATATTTAGTGAGAAATTACTCACAGTTGCTTTATTTTAGTTGTTTTTGAGAAACTCTTAGGCCTTGTTTTGATATCACTGTTAATCAAAATCCTTTTCACTTTGATTCCAATTAGAATACTATATTATCATCATTCTCCATCTTGCATTTTCCGTGATGGTGGATATTCTATTCCACATTTGGTGCTAGTCCTAAGACTCTTTGTCACATGTTATACATACAGACTGCAAAATTCATAAGATATAGGTCCTGCAAAAAGTATAGTTGAAGTAAGAAAACTTTTGAAGTAACTAGAATACTTTGTGCTAATAATCTCTTAAATGCTCTCATATCCACAGTGTGAAATTATTCCCTGTCCATAATCAGTTCAACTGCTATAAGGAGAAAATTGATGTGTACTTAAGAAAATATGTACTAAATGATTCATATTTCACAGACGTACACAAGAAAAATGGCACATCAGGTAAATGATGGTTGTTTATCACACAGTAGGGAAAGGAAGAAACATTAAAATATCAGGAAGGAGATGAAACGTCTCTGAAATACAAGAAGAATGATGTAATAGTAGATAGTGGTTCTCAAACTTTGTGCATCAGAATCACAGGAAGGATTTGTAAAAACACAGGTGACTACCCTATTCCTCTCCTCATCCTCCCTCTACCCACTTTACTCCCTCCCCTCTTCACCCTGTAGTTTCTGATTTAGTAGAGAATTCGCATTTCTAACAAGTTCCCGGGTGATGCTGTTGCTACTGGCCTGGAATACCACATTAAGAACCATTCATAGGTAGTATTTTTTTAAAAAATCATTGTGTTGTGCTCAACATTGTTTGATAAAGGAGTGCGCTTTTTAAATCTCCTTAAAAGAGCCCTTAGATTTCCTCTAGATAATAGAATTAGTAATTTCGTCTGCAACATACACAATTTTTTTTTTATTTTACAAAATTTAGTTAAATGTTTGTTTTACACTGACTATGGAAACAGCACTATTATAGATACAGAAAGAAATCAATAAACATAGCCTGTGTTCACAATTCACTCATCCCTTTGTTATAAAAAGACTTGAAATTAGAGTTATGTTTTAATATGAAAACAAAATTTAGCCTTAGCCTTTATCCATCTTAACTTTAGAAATTATATTTATGCACTGTTTGTAGATCATTGTCATTCATTGTTGCTTGAGTGTTCATCTGATTTTATATTTATGATATTAAAAACAGACTGCTGACCAATAAATAAAATATTTACACTCTATTTCCCTGCATTTACATCCTATTAATGAAAACCACTGTTTTTAAACAAAGTTAATTATTTCATAAAACTCACCGCTATTTTACTTGATTCTCAATATGGGAATATTTCATGAATATTTCACCAGAATTTATTCAAGGAATTCAGAAGGACTCTCCAGCAGGCCTGAATATTCACATTATTAAATTTTTTAAAAAATTAAAAAATGACAATTGAAACTTGTTTAAGAGACTCAACTTGGAGTTTCGTGACATATGAAGGCAGCATCATTTTTTCTACCTGTCTGAATCAGCACTTTGTAAGTTTACATAAAATTAAGGATTGTGATTTCTAAGGTAGACATGCTTTGCAAATATTTCTTTATAAAAGTGGAAGCCTCTTTGCCATAGTGCTCACTCTAAGGCTTTCTGTAGGCCTGCCGGTAAGATTCACTGCTGTTCAGGTACATAAGATGTAATGAAATTGGATGTGCATGCTGGGCTTTGTAAATAAAATGAGATTGACCCCCAGCAATTATCTCATTTATCTGATTTACATTGTAAAATCAGGATCTACACTATTGATTAGAGCATAATTAGTTAATTATGAACAGGAAAATACAAAGTTACATGGAGCTTGAGCACAGCAGGTTGTACTGCTGAAAAATTTCCAAGGGCATGAGCAGATGGAAATCAGTTTATTAAAGAACAAAGCAGACGTGTTTCAGGTATGGAAATGTCTAATTCTTCTGTCATGCTGCGAAGAGTTGCTTGACCTTATTGTGCATTTTTATATGAATTGTTTTGTCTCATCTTTCATTTTTTTGTTTCACATTTAATCTTGTAATCAGGCTGCTGCAGGTATAGCTATCTAAATTGATCTCACTATTTAAGTGACTATTAAATACAGATTTGGATTTGGATACTTTTCTAATTTTTTAAAATTAATTTTTATGTGTACTTTTATGTGTAAAGAATATTTTTGTCTTTCTTACTACCCATTCATTCATTATTGGCTGATACAGAAGTCTGTAGTGGTATTAATGAAATAGGTTCAAGTCCTCCACATTAGTCTTATATTTGTGAAACGATTAGAAAACATTTTCAAACTATTTTGTATAGAAACTGCTCATGTAGGTAATTGCACTAAAATTGTTGTAAATTACAAGGAATAAAATATTGTACTTATTAATACTAAATGTTACTCAATATTGGTAGAATGTAGAATTTTGTGCAAGCTTGTATTATTTGTAAAGTGATTTAACTTGTTGACCACAATTTGTATTTTCTCCGTTAAGATGTTTAATTGAAACAATTGGCCACTATTCAATGAAATAACTCATCACTACATGTTAATAGATTTGCGTAGATGTTTGAGCTGCTTTTATTTAAGTAATGACAGTATTGAAGACTAATTTTTTTGAACATTCTTGTGTGGAATTTTTACACAGAAATGAAAAAGTTGGAAAATCCAACCCATCAGTTCTCTGGATATTTAGTTTTTTTTTAAGTGGACAGACATAATAGTCTATATTTTCAGAGTCCAGTTTTTATTTTGTTTTATATAAAATTATAGGGGCTATAAGTAGAATGTTCCATTGGCATAAAAGATAACGTGATTATCATGAAATTTGCATGATAATTAATTAAAATAAAATTAAAATACAAAATTTAATCATGAAAATGTACACCCTTGTTCAAGTCTATGTTAATGGATTTTGCTTCTTTCTAAAGTTCAGCCTACAAATGGCTATAAATTATTTGCATAGGACGTGCACTTAATTGTTTCAGTTAGGTTTTAAAAAGTAGTTTTAGTTTACTCCTCTAATGAAATTATCCATTAGAAATTAGAGATGTTAAAAAAAAAACCCTTTGGAACACTGACTTTTGGCCTCTTAGGCATCCGACGAAATAAATCAGCTGCTTCTTTTTACTTGTCTGCATATTTTCAGTAGTCAGGTAAACACCTGACCAATTGCTTGTTATATGGATCATAGCACATATGAAGGTAAATCATTTTTTTCCCCTCTTCTTTGTTTAGGGTGCTATTCTTAATCATATACTAAGTAAGTATTTTACATACATATAGACTTATGTTTATTTGGTCACTGTATTTTGTTAATGTGTAAAAGACCATATATTAAGCTACTTTGTTATTTACATCTATATCTGTTATTAATCTGATATCTAGGAAGTTGTATTTAGTAAGAATCTAATTAGGTTTGCTTTTGTCTTATAATTGGGATTCCTTTATGCTCTATAGTGTTAATGTGTACAGTGTTTTTAGAGGCTTAAATGATACTTCTTTATGCATCCAGTTTTAATTTTATTAAAAAATCTTAGTGTTTCTTTACAGGTTAGTTTTATATTCTTTTTTAATATTTTAAGACATTGCCTTCCTATTTAATAATGTGCTATTGGTATAATAATCTGTTTTTATTACATAGACATTTGTGTTATTTAATAAAGTATATTGTGTTATATCCCTATACTTTTGTGGGTCAATGACTGCTTTTGCAAAAGTTTTCTAAAACATTTTATTCACTATTTATTTTGATAAATTATGTCCTATATTATGTGCTGCATGTGTTTCCAAGTTTATGTAAGAAATAAAGGTAGAAACCATAAATAAGTCAATAACTACTTTAACTCCATTGCAGCTTTTAGATAGCAGATGATTATAGACCCTTACGAGTTTTTGATTTTCAAGTTTTTTAAATGGTCTAAATTTGCAACATAGCCAGAGTTTGTTGGGTGACAGGAGTTGATAAAGATTACAAAGTGGTATTTGTGCGTAAAATTAATAAGCCACTATTTTGGCCATCCACATTGTGCTTTGATTTCTTGAGTTCGTAATGATGTCTCTCATATTTGTCTATGGTTTAGTAATTCTTGCAAGTTCTGCTAGAGTTCACTTGTGTCCATCAGGATATTTCAGTGATTAGCACATAAAACTATGGATTTTTTCGATTTCAGTATTCTAAGATAGAAACAACCAGATTTTTTTCACATTGAAATAATTTGAGACATCTTTACAAAGATCTTATATTTATATATTTATCACCAAAACTATTGACTTTAAGATTGGATTCTTTTCTTCCCCCTCTCTTTTTTGGATTTTGGCAGTTCCTAAGGGTCCTAACTACTACTTTTTGCTACTTGGTCTTGAAGCTGCAGCTTTTATTTACTGTTGAATGAGCTAGAACTTTAGAGAACTTCCCAATCACCACTAATTCTGACAAGCAAATTCTTTTCCTTTGGAATGCATCACAAATACATGAGTTCCACATGTCAACTAAGTAATTCTGAAAGCTATCGCTAATGAAGGAATCAATCAGTAAGGATTAGGTCATTTTTAAATGGCATATATTTGTTATCTTCTGATAAACTAGCATATAAAATCTCCTCGTCTTTTCATTGGTTCTTGAGCTGAAAGATAACTTGATTGTACGAGTAGTTGAAATCATCAACAGATTGGAACTGTATCAGTGTAGCAAACTTGTTCTTGGTTTATTAGCTGGAATTTCATAGCTATATCAACAAGAATTATTTATGTACATTAAGGTGATAAATAATGAATTGTGATACACAGTAATCATGATAGTTGCCTCAAGTTATACACTAGAAATCATAATTTGAAAATTATTATGACACAGAGTTATAAATATGCAGTAATTAGGTAGTAAATTGATGTAAACTAGGAAAATGTTAATACTTCATCAAGAACTTTGATTATTAGCAATCTGAACTGTATGGCACACTACCCAAAAACCTGAAGTTAAGGAAAAAAGACTATAGTTGACAAACAAAATTGAGCCCATTTACTTAACTCAGTAGAAATTCTCATTTTCGTGTGTTTTTACTGTCAGTTTACATTGCCTCAATAAGTTTTAGTGGTCTGGTTTCTGAATCCATAACAATTGTTGTTGGGGAATTTATGTTTAAGCAAACACACTGACAATATCAGGAAGCAGTGGCTGATAGTTTTCAGGCAAATGAGGACCCTGAAAATCTATAAAAATTGAATACAAGAATTCAAATAGAACAGTCGACTACTGGTCCTCATTCCAAGGACAAAAGGCTGACACACTGTTAGACATGTAGCAGGATATATTATTCTTATTGATGACCTGAGATGACAAATATAAATTATATTTAATATGTTTATTTGATGAAACAAGAAATGTGATTATTTTTAAATTTCACATCAAAGATCATTAAAACTCTAATTTTTATGTATGGAGTATGCTCTCAGTTATTTAGAAATCTCAACCTTCTCATAAACTCAGAAATACTTACACTTTGAAGGTTTCTATATCCATAGGTTTAATCGAAATTTTGTCTAATGAAAGGTAAATATGTTGTATTGAGAAAGAGCATAAAATTATGTGGGCTTGCCAGTTAGTCTCTTTATGTCACATTTGAAGTTAGTTTATATTATTTGTTATTATTTCTTAATGCCAGAACAACAGGTATTTGAACATTTTAACTGCTTTTAAATATATTTTTAGATATGTGATATTGTCATAGTAAGTAAAGTACTCTTGGTCCTATTGGTGCTATTTGATTTTATCTATTCCTGTAACTAGAAGTATCATAGTAAGCATTTTTCAAAATCTTGAGTCTACAAGGTTTTTGGAAAAGTACGTAAGCTTATTTTTTTCATAAGGAAAAAGTTGTAGAGGAAGAAATGCATAAACTTAGGGCATTCAATTGTATTTTAAACTTCTTTATATCTGAGTAACTTAATTAAGTTGCTTAACTTTTCTGCAACTCTTGATTCCCCAAATGAGTTTTTGGAAGATTGGGTTTTTGTAGCATAATATGAAATTTCTACTAAAAATGTAGATTTACACTCCCTTTTGTTATGATAGTTTCTTAAAGTCAATTGTTTTTCTTTGTGTGTTGTTTATGTAAGAAGAGCTTCTTCCCCCTTTTTTCCTAAAAGGTTATTGAATAGTAGTTTTTAACTTTATTCGAGTAATATATGTTCTATAAATCTTCCCCTTGGTTTGTTTCTTAATTGTAAATTTCTTGACATTTGAAGTTTTAAATCAGTGAAAGATAAACAATAAAGAAAATCTGACAGATTGGTTGAGAAAGTATTATTGTTTAATTTTTTTTAAACTACTATGAAATGAGGAATGCAATCCTTTCTATAAGATGTATACTCTTTGTTATTTGTTGTTAAATTTTGGTCTTGTTATTCCAACTGATGCAAAATTCTTTTTACAAAGCACTGAAATAATACAGATTTTTCTTCATTGTCAGCAGGATGAGATTGTCTGAAACGAAGAATAGGTATGATAGTTTTCTTAGATTTTGTACATCATAGGTGGCAAAGACACTATCAAAACATTTGTAAGTTTTTAAATGTACTAGGAAGTACTTTGTAAAACCAAATGGTCTGAAGAAAGTGACAGGTAAATTTGAGGGAATAAAACTAAATTATTGGGGTAGTGTCTTACCTCTTTGTATATTTAAATGTTCTGTGATTTAACATGTAAACGTTATTTTTATTTGCTGTAGATTGTGTTAGCATGCTATAAATGTTAGAAAGTTCACTTACAATCTACTTTAACTTGAAGAAAGAGAGAAATCAGGTGCAAATCGTATAGCATTGATTGCAACCTAGTGTAGCCTAGTAGAATTTCTGAGTTTTAAAATTTTTTAAATAATCAAAATGTATTTTATTGGATTCATATCCTTGAATTATATATGTATCTTATTAAATAAAGTGATTTAATGGGCAAATGATTAATTATTTAAGTTCACAATTGAAATTATTGTGGTTGTTTTGAACACATGATTATACATATACATTCATTCATATGCTCTTAATATTTCTGCTGTCAGTGTTCTAAATATTTGTTTTGTTTGTTGATTTTATTGCTGTTGTATTTTGTTTTTGCTAAAACATTTATTTCAGGTTTAGTTTGCCTTTATCATCATCATTAATTTAATGATCTTGTGAGCCAAGGATAAAATTAACAGTGTTGAAGTTGAAATATACAATAGTTTGTCTTTTTGTCTTTGAAGTAGGTGGTTTTTATATTATTTAGATACACCTACCTATAAATCTGTTTACCCTGCAGGTGTGATGAATGCAGACTCTGCTACCATTTTGGCTGTTTGGATCCTCCTTTGAAAAAGTCTCCTAAACAAACAGGTTATGGATGGATATGTCAGGAATGTGATTCGTCATCTTCCAAGGTAAGCGGAGGAGTCTTTAAGAAAAGGGATTGTTTCCCTTCCGTTTGATAGCTTTCCCATGTCACACAATTAGCTTCTTTAAAGATAATTGGAATATGAAGGACCAACATTTTAACCAGTACACCTTAAGAATATATTGCTATGGTTATTTTCTTGCTCTTAAATTAAGGAAAAAACAACTCTACTAAATTATGTGAATTTTCTCTATGGAATATGTAGTTGTTTAATGTATTCTCTATTATTGTAACATATTAAATAGTGCTCCAGTAGCCCAAACAGATCACTCTTTGCTAATTTAACACACTTGAGAATGGCAGGGAAATTCCACCCTGAGTCACAATAAATTATATTAGCTAACAGAATAACCAGTTAAATAGAATTTTACAGATGTTTTATTTTGAAATATATTAATATATTGTAATATCTTATAGAATCTGTTCCTTTAAAAAAAGAAAAAACTAATTTCACATCCTAAATCTTATTTCTGATATTTATTTTAGCCGAGTAAAAAGAATGAAATTTCTAACAAGGTTGTTTAATAGATTATACCCCCAAATCAATTTGAAAATTATGTCTTTTTAATATTAACATTCTAAACTTACATTGTAGTAATCTGTAGTTTATTTTGTGGCTCATTAAAATGAGTAAGTAAATAGCCAGACTCATTTTGACTAATTTGGCAGAAATACTGAATACATTTGAATGAAGACATTCTGGTCAACTGTAGATTGATCGGAGTTTTCTTTCTCAAAACAGATGATGAAAATTAACTGTCTGTTGTATTATGGACATCCAGCCATCTTTCTTCAATGCTACTTAAATGATTTTTGTAGTCCTAGAGTAAATTAAATTTGATCATGTAATCAGAAACATTCTTTTATCATTAACTAAAATGATTTGCTTCAGCTTACCACAGAGGCCTTCTACAAAAGTCTGTTAAAAACTGCAAAAAGACATTTGGTTATAGAAAGAAACTAAACTTTTTAAAAATATCACAATATTTAAAATTATATATATTTTTTGCCGGGTGTGGTGACTCACGCCTGTAATCCCAGCAATTTGGGGGTTGAGGCAGGTGGATCATGAGGTCAGGAGTTCGAGACCAGCCTGGCCAACATGATGAAACCCTGTCTCTACTAAAGATACAAAAAAATTAACCAGACGTGGTGGTGAGTGCCTGTAATCCCAGCTACTTGGGAGGCTGAGGAAGGAGAATCGCTTGAATCTGGGAGGCAGAGGTTGCCGTGAACCGAAATTGCGCCATTGCATGCCAGCCTGGGCGACAGGGCGAGACTCCAACTCAAAAAAAAAAAAAAATTATACATATTTGTATGAGGATTATTAAAATATAATATTTGTGTATATTTTATTTAATAATCAAGCATTTTAACCTAAAATTGTAAACTATATAGTAGCAATAATTATTTTCCAGGCATTTTATTAAGGCCTAGATTTAAGAGAGAACATTTAATTTTAAAGATTTTATTGCATAGTTCAAAAATATATTCCCAAAATTTTATTTAAATGTAAAAATAATGAAACACTAGAGAGTTTAAATAGTTGTCTTATGAGTCTCTTTAATAAGTTTTTTTAAGTGCATTTTTTGTTTGGGATTTTCTCCTATCCCCAACAAATAAGTTAGGAAAGCAATTTTTGAAATAGGATTTCCCACCTTTTTAAAATATACCTTTTTACATATATTCTTTTGAGAAGGCTCAATAATACTATAAATATGTAGTATTATGTTCAATGTTAAGTTATATAGTAATGTTGTTAATGAACATTGAAAAGGCAAGGGGGCATATTTCAGATTCGTTTGAAATATAGCATACATTTTGTACATGCCATACGTGCCAGTAGCCATTGGAAAAGGTTTTAGTTTTGTTTTCTTCTCTACCACAGAATGGGTCTTTGAACTCTGAGTGGAAATGCATTAGGAAGGCATTTGTTAGAAAACTTGTTTTGTATTTGCTGTACTATGTTTGACCTGTGGTTGAATACCAATATAAACAGCTAACATTTTCAAAATTTTGTAAAATATGGTTTCTAATTTTGGAATGTCACAGCAGTTTACTTTAAGGAATGAAACAACAGTGAAATGGATTCGTATTTTCATTATACTTATATGACTATTAGTATACTACTATTTTCCAGTGAAAAATTAAATTTAATATAATATTTAAGCTGAAACATATGGAGACTTAATTGATTCCCTTGAATATTTGTGCTGCATCAGTTGTTTTTCTTACTTTGGAAGACTTCCATTCATGAACAGTGGGTAGTAAATTTCTGTTTACATTTTCTCCTGAAAGATGTTTGCTAGTATTAGAGCCTAAGAAGAAAACATTGATAGATAATGTCATGCTTTATAATTCAGTGAATGCTGCAGAAGCTTTTACATTAGGAAAGCTGTATATTATTAACATCTGAGTCAAGAAAATTAGTCACATCTTAGGGCTTAAAAGAAACCCAGAATGAAAGTTCGTATGCTTTGCTTATCCTTTATTCTCCTACATTTGCTTTGGTGGAATATTATTTGCTAGGTAGCCCTGGGTTTATTAGCCATGTTCATATATTTTAATGAAATCAAAAGCTAAAAGAGAAATACATATTGCCATAAGAAAGGAAGTAATCAATTGCAAATAAATTTAGATGGTAAAATGTCTCCAACTTCTTTCTCTGTGGTAGTCATGTTGTTAAGTCCAACAAGTCTTCACTTTTATTTGAAATTTTGACTCCCTATTTGTTTTGCCTAGAAGTTTAGATAATACAAAGCAAGGGTGTATAGTTGAATATTTGCTTGAAAAATGAATTGCACTTTAACATTTTGTCAAAATTTTGTGGACCGGGGAAGCTCTAAAATATTGCTATTTATACTGTCAGCAGCTATTTATGTATTACTTTGTCTTTCAAGTAACAAGTTTTTGATATGGAGTTGTATGAGGGCAAAAATTTCTATCTTTACCCCTGCCTATTACTTTTGTAGAAATTCCATAAGAGTCTAATAAGATTCATCATATCTAAATTCATAATTTTTTGTTTTAGCACATGAAAGCTGAATTATACCTAAGTATTTAGTTTTAATAATATGATTTAATAACAATTTACCTTAAAGAAGAAGAATGACTATTTATTCTACCCAAACCCATGAAGTATGGCATAATAAGACTTTCTCTGTCTCATCAACTCTTCATAAACCTAAGTAGTCATTTTGAGTTTCATAAAAAATAGCCAGTTACATGGATATAAACATCCACATGTATGTACCTACATGGAGGCACAAATATACACACATAAAAATACACGGAGACACACACACTCTTACACAAAACGTACCTTCTCCAATAGGCTATGCTTCAAAGCCATTGACTAAGACAGCAGCCACCCAGACAGTGCACTATGCTTATATTCAGTGGAGCTAGTTCATTGCTACCTGTCACCCTGCATTAGGGCTTTTTTTCCTTGCTCGTTACTGTGTTGTGAAAATCCTATTGTTAATAAATGCTACATGTCTGGAAAAGAAATGTATTTTCTTCTTTCTTAACCTCAACTTTTCTCTTATTTTTCCTTCATTTCTTCTTCCATCCATTTATCCAAGTCACATATCTGGAATCGTCTTCAAACCTTCCCCATCCTTATCTCACGTAGCAAATCACTTCCTGAGTCCTATGAAAGTTTTCTTCTTTAAATATTTCTCCAGTCTGCTCTTTGCTCCTTTTTTCCACTACTACTGTCTTGATTTGGTGCTTCACTTCTTCTCATTCTATTATGGTTCTTCCTGTTTTAGAAGCTATCTAAATAGGTATGCCAGACTTATCCCCTTTTTATCCATTCTGCTTACTAGAGGCTTCTAAATGAAGTGTTTGCACCACAGTAGATATACAAAATGACTCATTAAATTAGCTTAATTCTATATGACATCTATCTTAATTTTCATGTCTGAGTGTATTTTCATGATTTAAATATGCTAGTCCTATAGAACAGGCACATAAAACTTCACACATATATATTTATGTTGAGGTGCATACTTCAAATGTTTTTACTACTGATATGCATCATCAAAAATAGCTTTCTGAAAATGTATTTATCATACCTCTGCTTGAAATATGTCAGTGTTTTTTCATTCTTCTTCATATCCGAAATAAAATCAGCCAGATTAGGAAATTAACATTGATATATTATTACTGTCTGATCCTCAGATTTCATTCAGATTTGGCTATTAATCCCAGTAAGGTCATTTATGGCAAAAGGATTCGGTATAGAATCACAGGTTACATTTAGTTTTCATATTTCTTTTGCCTTGAATCTGTACAGTTCCTTAGTCTTTCCTTAACTTTCATTAGCTTGTGACTTTTGAAAATTACAGAGCAGTTATTTTGTAGAATGTATTTCACTGTGTATTTTTCAAATATTTTCTTGTGGTTTATATTCATTATGCATCTTTGATAAGAATACCACAGATGTGATGTTGTGTGCATTCTACACAAAATTTTGATTTGAATTATAGATAATTATGTTATATCTTAGGAGTTGTCTGCCAGTTTCCTAATTAATTAGTGATTTCTGGGGAAGAACCTTGAGACTATGTAAAAATATCTTATTCCTCATCAAACCTTCATTTTCTGTTTTATTCAGTGGGGTTATATTGAATGTTATTTATTTTTATTTTCAAATTACTACAAATTTGGCTAATGAAAGCCACTTCAAGCTGCCTTCTATATCTTTTTGACATGAGTCTACCAATCTTCAAGTACTTTCTTGCTGATAGTCTTCCAGGCTCAGCTTATACTGTCTCTATCTCCATTCCTGGAATCAGCTGTTTCTCCACGGAGCCCAGGTTCCTTTTAGTGGAAAATGATATTTCGAAACCAAGATCTGATGTGGTCATTGTTACGGGGATATTGCTCTTCCTTGTTCTTCTCAGTAGAAAAAGCAGAGGACTAGATGTAGGTATATGTATTCATACACAGCCACACTTACATCTGTATTTTGTTTTCATA